GAAATATAATCTTCCAATTTATAAAACGACACTCATAGGATGATCATGGTTTATTTATTTATTTTTTAATCACCTTTTCAATATTGACGGCCCATTTTATTAGTTAACTGTGAACACACACACACATTTGTTTGTTTCTTTTTATATTTATATTGGTCAACTTCTAACTTTGTACCTTTTTTTTCTTGTACATTAAAGATAAAATTGAGGCTAAAATTGAAATTTTTAGTACATTATGATAAAATTGAAATCACTTTCTAGTTTTAACTTTGAAAGTTAAATTCAAACATTAATATTTTACATAAAGTACTTTAAAGAAAATTATCAATATATATATATATATACTCCCTATGAAAATAATATACAATATTAGAAATAGAAAGTGGAGGGTGGGGATACGCGACTTTTGTCATTTTCATATATATTTTAAATATTTTCACTTTAAATCATGAATATGCATTCTATATATTTTCCCCCTTTATTACCAATCAATAGAGTGAAGACAAAATAGGTACATGGGGCATCACATACCTAATTTATTAATTTTCCCCCCTTCATTAAAACCATATCATAAAAGATATACTATGTGCATAATTGTAACCTAACTCCCTCAATTGCTTCAAAAAAAAAAAAAGTTGGGGGTTAACAATGCATGGCCGACCTGATTTAGGAAAGGCCAGAAGAGCCGACCTATTCGATAACTTAAGCAAGCAGGTAAACCGCCAAGCCTCACCTCGAGAGATCCCTACACGAGCAATAAAATACATCGATGGGACGCGTATCTACCCTATCTATCGCTATAAATACACCACTCACCCATGGACCCAGGTATGAAAAATCTGTCAGAGTTCGGATTATACACTAACTTGGACGTCAGGATGGTTTGTAGGTACCTCGAAAGCTAAGTGTTGCTAGTCGGAGCTCATCCTCCATACCTCAAAATGAAATCTAACTCCTACAATTCACGTTTTTAATTTTGTTTTTATTTCTAAAAATGAACGGTATGACCCAACATAGATAAATTTAAGTATGATATAACAATGGTTACAACAAATTCAAAATGAGAAGAAGGAAGAAGAAGTTTTATTTGTGAGTCCTCGAGCGGGTCCCACGAGAAAAAGTAATATCCGTGAAAGAAAAGAGAGAATGTCTTTTTCTCCCATCTCCAATCCCCGATTTTATTTTGAACATGGATCCCCCTCTCATTTGAAACGTCACATCACGCAGGCCGATCACGTGAAAGTTTTTTCCATTTTTGACCTTTCAGTGTGGGTCGCATTTTCTAATGGTACCTTATATAGGAAAAATGGAAAAGAAGAAAAAAACAGTTTTTTTCTTCAATCCCCAATTCTGACATGAATCCATAGAAATCCATAAATTTTTCCTTTTTCTATTCTTAAGGGTTAGTATTGCATGGTGTCTTTGTGCCAGCTTTTAAATGTCGATGTTGATGGAAATGTCGGGATCTTAATCTCATAAAACTATCTATAGAAATATGGATGTTATTAGATATTTCTAAAAAGGTTATTAAAATAAAAAAATACATAAAATAATATAAATTAACAGATAGCCATTTCACCATTTATAGATAAATTTATAATGATTAATATTAATATTATGTCTATATTAGTGATATTTTGTTGATATTTTTCATATATATATTTTTATTTTTTGTAATATTATGGAAATGTCGATTACCCCTGATGTTGAACCCATGAATAAACAAAAATGTTAATGGAAATGCCGACAGATATTTAATACTATGGTTTGGTGTATCTTTTAATAAATCGAGATATTTAAAAGTGATTCTATAAATGTTAAAGTACCAAAAAAATTATTCTATTTCTCCAAAAATAAAATAAAATAAAATAAAATTATTCTAAAGTGATTTCAATCAATCATGTTGGAGGCAAATTTTTGATCTCTACSTGTCAGTAGATCGTAATTTGAAAAGTACATAGTCATCATAATCATGAAAACTCAATTATAAGACAAAAATAACAGCTCGATACTTCATAAAAGTCGAGCCCACATAACAATATATGGTCATCACGATCTTTGTCATTAAACTAACACTTTCATCTTTATCATATGAATTTAGTTTCAACTTAATTTATATAATTTTAGTTTAATTTTCATAATATCAATGGCATCATATTGGGTGACTCCGGCTCTTACTCATATAATTTATATATATATATATATATATATATATATATTTTATTTTACAGTTCCTTTTATTCATATTTTTTAAAAGATAGGTACATTTTTTTTATTCAAAGTAATTAATCTAGGCTCTTAATATCTTATAAATGTAAATTATGAACCGTATTTTTTTTTACATATTTATAGTTATCAAAATAATAACGAATAAAGTATTTAAGTATTTAATTTATAGATGTTATTTGTTCGTTTTATAATTTTATTTCGATTCTTACAAATTTTAAATGTATTTTTTATATCTAATAAAGAAAAACAAAACATTTTTATTTTGTACTATTTATTTACATGCCTAAAGAAAAGTACAAAGTGGCTTTCTGTCCAATCTGTAGACGGAATAAATAAAATATACTTTTGTCTTGCCTCTTGGCGGAAAAAAAATAAATAAAAAGAAGGAAAGAGTAACTAGAATTGCTCGCCTCGACTCTGAAAATAAGAGTCAAGCCGAAGCGGAAGACGAATCGACAACGGTTAGACTAAAGGGTGGTAGATTCGAATCATCATCTTTATATGTTGTATTAAAAAAATTATATATTGATTTATGAGAGAGAAATCACGAAAGTATCTGAAATCTATATCTAATAGTTATTAGAGGCATGAAAATTTTCGAACCATATCTAACCGTCATTAGTGTTGGGATTAGTGGAGCCAAAACGACGTTGGAATGAGMTAGGGATGAGTCGAGATCGAGTCGGAATGTGTCGGGATCGAAGTGGGAATGAAAATAGGGGAAAACAGGCGCTACAAGCCAGAATGGCTGGAAGTGCAATGCCACAACGCTGTCATATTGAGGTGGACGCGGACTTTTGTCTGTCCGTAGCGTCGTGGCGTTGTTTTGAGTCTATAAATACTACCGTTTATGTTTAGGGTTTTTCAGTCAAAAAAGGGTTATTTTGCAGCCAATTTTGAATGGGTTTTGGCAGCAAATCAGTGGCAGCAGCTCAGGTATTAACAGAGGCATTGGGGCTAATCAAGATCAATATATTCGAGATAATTAGATTATGGTGAGTTTTTCATTCCTGTATCTAAGTATTAATTGTGTTAAATACTTAGAAGTTAGAGAACTTTTGCTGGGACCTCTAGGGGATAGTTTTGGGGAGAGCTTTGTATTATAATCCTAACATTATTAGTGAACTACCCACAACTGAGTGGAAGACTGGACGGAACCTTTAGTGGTGAACCACTATAATCTGCTGTGTTATTTATCTCGTGTTTAATTTCCCAATAATTAGAAGGTAGCCTTATTTAATAATTGTCTACTAGAAGAGTAAAAATTATTAGATATGATTGTCACAATGTGAGTATTCATAATAATTATTTGATGCAAGTTTATAACCTATCTGTTTCCTAATAATTTTTTGATATAGATTCAAAATATAATTTTTAAATTCTCTCATACATCTAAGGGTAAGGGATTTGCAGTGATACAATAATGTGGATATTAATTCCATTTATTATTATCAACATTATAAAATGATATGATGTTTAGCAACATTAAAAAATTAAAATTAATAATATGAATTGAATAGGTAAAATCTTATTAACTCTATTGTTCCAACTCAAACCAATTGATAATGAGAGGAGTAACTCATCCATATTATAACTTTTTGTTACAACTTTATTTTGAAAAGGAGAAAACGAACAAGGAAAATGATGTAAAATCTTTGGTCATGTTGTAGCCCCTGAAATAAAATTTGTCCTGGAGTGCTGATATTTAATTAAGAAAAATGAAAAATGATAAAAATACTATATGATGGACGAAGTGTCTTTTTTATTCTTAATATTTTTAATATTTCAATTATAGTTTTAAAATAATTAAAAAAGATTAATAAGGTCAATGCTAGTTGTGGTTGAAATAGAATAACAGAATATAAATATTACTTTTATATGAGTCGGGTGGAGTCTTTTCAATAATAAAAAATATGATTATTCTGTTAGGAAAATTGATTGGCCTGAATAATTTTCCCTTTYACAGAAATATCCAAACACAACAAAAAAATATGCAAATATGAAGAAAACTGTAAGAGCACAAGAATAACGACAAAACAATTTATACTGGTTCACCACTAAGAGCTATATACAGTCTTCCACTCAGATGTGGGTAATTMACTAATAACTGTTTAAGGATTGGAATACAAAACTCTCACCAAAAATATCCCTAGAGGTCTAAACAAAAGCTCCCTAGTTTCTAAGTATTATAACACACTATACTTAGGTACAAGAATAAAAAACACTCACTAAACCCACGGGATACACAATYYTTTTCAACACTGCCCACAACCACTCAAGTCCCTTTTATTTGGATTATATACAAATGAAATCTTAACATAAGAGTTCTATTTATAAGAGGCCAAATATCCTAATTCTTATAGGAAAACAATATTATAATTCTTATAAAAGACAACAATATCCTACCCCCGATAGGAATTGGTAATAGTGTTGAAAAATCATTTTCTTCATAAGATATGGTTTCTTGTTTTGGCTCCATAATCCCAACAATCTCCCACTTGGGGACAAAGCGGCAATTCTCTACCTCCCACTACATCAACAGTGTCCCATCAACTTCTTGACACCCTCTGTCAAGGCACAGTTTTGACTTCTCTGTCAACGAACTGATCAACACTGCTTGGCCCTACCCAAGCATCATCTGACTCTGCCCCRAGACTGGGCAGCTCTACATGGTCTTGTCCCCCAGACTTAGAAACATAGTCACGTACTCCCACTTAATCTAAGTGGTCCCCGTCGCTTACTTTCTCGATCGAATCCAATGACTTCTGAAAGAAGATTCCCCTGATGATTTGGCACTCCCACTCAAGTATGTCGCCACACTAGAAATAGAACCTGTACCCTTCAATGCACTAATTCGCCTATGCGACTTCACCAGCTCGCCTAAACATCTGACAGCTGAGGTATGAACTCGATGGCCTATCAAATTCTCGTTTCCCTTTTTTGTACTTCTCAACTGTTTAACTTGAGGTGATGGGAGATTCTTCTGATCTGTTTTGGCCATTAATGCTGCTGGTCGTCTAAGGTATCGCCTTGAACCATATGCAACTACTTTGTGCATAGTCTGTCTCAGTGAACCCTTGGCAACCTCAAATTCTGACACATAAACATAAGATCTCTTGTGGCCTGTTGCCACCACCATGGATTACTTCTTGAGCTTCCAGCAACCCCCACTAAACTCACTGCTGTAGCCATCGTCATCAAGCCTCCCTACGGATAACAAATTAAATCTGAAGCTAGGAATATACTTGACACCTCGTAGCACCAACTCGGCCCCTTCGCCTGTCTTCAAACAAACATCTCCAATTCCTCTCACCTTGGAGATACTCCTGTTCCCCATTCTCTCTGAGCCATAATCACATGCAGTAAAAGATGAGAACCAACGTCTGTTTGAAGCAACGTGCACTGATGCTGCAGTGTCCACAACCCTTTAGTCTACAGATATGTTCCTCTGAGCACAAGCTAGAAACTCGTCAATCCGTTCTTCTTCTGTTACAACATTTGTAGAATTGTTCCTCTTCTCACAATCTTCTTTGAACTTTCTATAGAAACGTTTCACGTGTCCCTTCTTGTGGCAGTAATAACATTCTACTTCTCCACTGGAACACCCACTACCCCTATATCTCCGCTGCTGCTTCCCATTGTAACTCATCTTTGCCTTCCCTTTGTTCTCAGCTACCAAAGCTGATTCAACCTCATTTTCTGCCCCTGAAGTAGATGCAAACATTTTCCCTAATTTTCTTYGGGCTTCCTCAGATATGGCAGCATCACAAGTAGCTGTAAATTTCAAGCTATTTTCCCCTAGCGAATTCGACACTACGGTCTTCATCGTCTCCCAACTGTCAGGCAAAGACGTCAAAAACCTCATAGCTTTCACGTCCTCGTCAATCTTGACACCCATCCCTTCTAACTTGTTCAAGATATCAGTGAGTTCATTAATGTGGGAATTCACTGAGGTTTCCTCCTCCATGTGGATATTAAAATACCTCGTCCATGGAAGTGTCTTTGTATTGGCAGAAGGTTTTTCATACCTGTCTTGCAAGACCTTCAACAAATCTTTCGCTGTAGTCTCTTTCGTCACCAGACTACAAACATTCATTGACAACGACATTCTGATGTTCGCAACGGCCTGCTCATCCATCTCATTCCAATCCTTGTCTGCCATCCCTGCTGATCTCTCCCCTCAAGTCTTGTGTATCTTCTTGCACGTAAGAAGATCATTTACCTGCATCTTCCAAAAATTGAAATTCTCCCCAGTGAACTTCAGAACCCTTCATAGTAATGGTGTGCGTGATATTTGTCTCCCATGAAGCTGCAACCTTACAGTCTGATACCACTTGTTGGGAAATTGATTGATTTGAATCATTTCTCCTTCAACAGAAATATCCAAACACAACAAAAATATGTAAATAGGAAGAAAACTGTAAAAACACAAGAATAACGCCACAACAAACTATACTAGTTCACCACTAAGGGCTACATCCAGTCTTCCACTCAAATGTGAGTAATTCACTAATAACTGTTTAATGATTGGAATACAAAACTCTCTCCACAGATATCCCCTAGAGGTCTAAACAAAAGCCCTAGCTTCTAAGTAATATAACACACTATACTTAGGTACAGGAATAAAAAAACACTCACTAAACCCACGGGATACAGAATCATTTTCAACACTGCCCACAACCACTCAAGTCTCTTTTATTTGGATTATATACAAATGAAACCTTGGGTTCTATTTATAAGAGGCCAAATATCCTAATTCTTATAGGAAAACAATATTATAATCCTTATAAAACAAGAATACCCTACTCCCAGTCAGAATTGGTAATAGTGTTGAAAAATCTTTTTCTTCATAGATATGAGTTTCCTGTTTTGGCTCCATAATCCCAACATATTCTTATTACAATCAAGTGGATTTTTCATTTGGTGGGGAAATTTTTAGTGCTACTATAGAATGGAAAATTTTCCATTTATTTATTTTCAATCGACTTATGAAACAAAATAATATATCAATGGATTATAATATATGTAATGGACATATCAAATATTTCTATTTGTATTAAAAAAATGAATGATATGTCAAATGAATGGAAAGACTAAGTGTTAATGTAGTACCATAAATCTTCCCGATAGAGTCTGTCAAATATTTAACTTGAAAAACAACATCCTCTCCTAGAAAATAGAGAGAATTTCAAAATTGGTTAAATAAAAATATAGTAAAATACACTTTTGGTCTSTAGAATAAGTTTTTATTTGGTTTCAAGTTTGAAAAATTGACAGTTTGGACCTTTAAAAAATAATTCTAAAAGCTAAAAATTAAAGCAAATTATGACAAACTTTTATTTAAGAGTTTCATTATGTAGTTTTATTTCTTTTCAATTTTACCATTTCTTGAACATATTAAGTAGGGGGTGTTTTTGTCTGCTTTTAGTTGAAAGTCTAAAGCCTTGCCATGATGTTGTTTGGAGATAAAGATTAGTTTTAATGGAATTTTTTGCCATCAAGTTTGCCTTTCAAGTTGAGTCACGAACCTTTCTTTAACCTTTGCAATTTTATATTTGTTTGAGTTGCATCCAAAGAACATTCAAGTGGGTTTGATCACCCTATCTTGTGAAGTGTTCGACTCCTGAATTGAAAACTTATTCTTTGTCTCGAGAGCTTTGATCTTAAGGCAACCTATGTTGTTGTCTAATTTAAACAACAGGGGTTTTAGTGTTTGTGAATGAGGGGTTCATGTACCGAAAATGTTAACTCGCATGGGTTTTCACATTAGACGTATACTTAACCGCGGTAATAAGTTGTTCTTCAATTTCACTGATTTTTGTTTTGATGAAAGCTTCTTTTTGTTTGGTGGGTTGACAGTAGAGCGAGGAGGGGCCATGGAACTGAGTTTGTTGTTTGGCTGCTCTCTGGTTTTGGCAAAAACGGGAAGGAGTAAAAGATGAAGGAAAGGGGAAAAATGGAGTACCAGAGAAGGAGGATGGAAGAGAAAGAAAGCGAAGAGAGAGGAAAAAAAGTGTCACGTAAGCTAAAAATATTATAAAATTGATAAATATTGTCATATCATCTAAAAATTGACAACTCTCTGGTGCTGCATTGTCACAAATSGAAGTTTGAATCCAAAGAGCTTTTAGAATACTTTCTAAAATATGGAATCAAACCGTAGTTTTTTAAACTTAAAAGTATCGAATAGAAACATATTCTCCTCAAATTCAGTGATCAAAAGAGTATTTTATCGATGAAAATATAATACTACATTTATATTAACCTATTTTCAAATTCACAAAAATTACAAAATTTTAAAGTATGAACCAATTTTAACATCTTAATCTCATATTTTATTTATCAAAAAACAAAAAAAAAAAACAAAAAGGTCTCATATTTGAAAACTCACTTTATAGGTTATTTTATAAAAAATATAAAAAATGACATATATAAAAATACATCATGGAAAGTAATATTTATTAAATATCAAGTCAAAGTTTGATTATTTTTTTTTTCTAATTTCAACAGCGAAGATATCTGATTGAAAAATCCCTACTTTTGAGAATAAAATTGTATACTTTAAGAAATAATACTATATTTGGTCAAAATATATATATATATATATATATGTAAAAGTTCAAAGTTGACCTACAAAAGAGGCCGTCATGTTTGAAAAAATTATCATCTGTCCTAAAAATGTAAAAAGATTGTCCTTTAGAACTTCGAGATTATATTTCAATTTAATTTAATTGACTTTTTACATTTTTCAAACAAAAAAAAAAGAAGAAAAAAAAAGAGAGACTGCAAGTTGATCAAATAGATAATGACAAAGATAATATAATAATGAAAATTTGTTACATTCATAACTACCAAATTTTTTATTTATTAAATAATGAAATGCAAAATTAAAAACAAACAACCATAACTCATATATTAGATTTGAAAAAATGACAGAAGGTGTGCATTTTTTAATRTTACACTAATTTAAGTATAAAAATGTTAATATATATTTTAATTATATTCTGATAAAAAAGTAAATTATAAATTTGTAATATACTTTCAAAATTGTATCAATTTTCTATTTTTTTAGTTCAAAAATTTCTGGGGATGCCCACCTACATGTAAGGAAAGTCTACACAAATAGACAAATAGAGTAGACACTTCATCGATTTTTGAGTCGACCGTCCCGATATTATTTGAAGCCCCAAGCTACCCAAGTTATCCYTTGGGAACATTCATACCTCTATTTAGCTATTCTGATTAGAGTTTATTTCTCCTATTGGTTTTAGCTATTCTTATTAGAGTATATTTCTAGTATTGGTTTTTTGTGCACTCCATGAAATGAGAAAGTAGTCAGTATTTTTCTCCCTATTTCATATCTAAAATGGTATCTGATGTACCTGTGGCCTATAATTTATTCACCTCTCACCAACTGTCCTTCATTTGTGCGCATCTCTCTTTCTTATTTTCCATGGCAACTTTATATCTACCACTGGAACGGTACTGCTATGGTGGAATTGATTCTACTAGCCCGTATTATCTTCATCACATTGATAATATATGTCTGGTTCTTGTTACTCAAGTACGAAAGATCCTCTTCGAGTCGATCTATGCTAATTCTGTTGTCCGTTAAGAACAAATTAGGGTTCATCGATGGATCGATCGAACAACCTTCTGGCGATTTACTGCATGGATATGCAATAGTCATGTGATTATTGCTTGGATTTTTAGTTCGGTATCAATGGAAATCTCTGCCAGCTGTAATTATCTCATATTACTCAAGAAATAATGTTTCTCGTATTTCAATGTCAACAGTACAAGTCTATTTAAAGACTGAAGTATAACAATATTAACAAAATTATAACAGAAAATAAAGGTTACAACCACATAACAATATGACTGTTATTATCCCCCCTCAAACGATGCTCAACGAGACAGAAGTTTGGAACGAAGAAATTGTAACCGAAGAGTAGTAATAACCTTGRTGAATAAATCAGCCAGTTGCTGATCAGTGGAAATGTAACGAAGTTGAATATCCTTTCGTATAACTCGTTCCCGGACAAAATGGAAGTCAATTTCCACGTGTTTAGTTTGACCATGAAACACCGGATTGTGGGCAAGCTGTATGGYTGATATGTTGTCACACCATAATATAGGCTGCTGAAAGCTAAAAACACCAAGGTCTTTAAGAATCTGACGCAGCCACGATAACTCAGCAGTTGTGGATGCCAGTGCCCGATATTCAGCTTCAGTAGAGCTTCGAGAAACCGTTGTTTGTTTCTTTGCTCCCCAAGAAATGGGATTAGAACCTAAGAAGATAACAAGACCAGTGGTAGACCTCCTATCTATAGTATCGCCAGCCCAGTCGGAGTCAGAAAAGGCATGGAGTTGTAAAGAAGCTGTAGGATGCCTTCGAAAAACTAAGCCAAGATCAACAGTACCATTTAAGTATCTTAAGATACGTTTAGCAGCGGTGAGATGATAAACAAAAGGCTTGTGCATATGTTGAGACAACTTACTGACCGAAAAGGCAATGTCAGGTCTACTAAATGTCAAGTAATTGGGGGCACCAATTAAAGAACGATAATTTCTAGCATCTTCCGTAGAGCATGGTTCCCCTAAATCAGAAGAGTTCACCAAGGCAAGTGGGGTAGAACATGGTTTGGCAGAGAGCATTCCAAACCTTTTAAGAATATCACGAGTATATTTAGCTTGATTAACCAATATACCACCAGAAGTATAGGTAATTTCCAGCCCAAGAAAATAATGAAGATTGCCCAGATCCGTCATATCAAACCGGTCTTTTAATAAGGAGATCAATGTGYTTATGTAGGAGGAACTATTTCCTGTTACAATTATGTCATCTACATAAAGCAGAAGGTAAGTAACTGAACCTCCAGTGTTGCGAACAAACAGTGATGAATCTGCTAAGGAAGCAGAAAAGCCAAGTGTGAGAAGATGCGATGTGAAACACTCAAACCAAGCCCTAGGTTCTTGTTTGAGACCATATAGACATTTTAGTAAWTTRCACACAGCTTGAGGTTGASAATGATCAACAAAGCCTTGTGGCTGTTGCATATAAACTTCTTCTTGAAGTTCCCCATGAAGAAAGGCATTYTTAACGTCAAGTTGACGAAGTTGCCATCAAAATTGAGCTRCTAGGGAAAGAATGATACRGACTGTGGGTTTCTTGACTACCGGACTGAATGTCTCATCATAGTCAATGCCCTCCTCTTGGTGATAACCTTTGGCAACAAGTCTTGCCTTGTAATAAGCAACACTCCCATCAGRATGTCTTTTGATTCGGTATACCCATTTACATCCAATGGCATTCTTTCCCRGAGGTAAAGAAGTTAAGCACAATGTATTTTGATTTATAAGAGCAGAAAATTCCTCACTCATAGCTTGTTTAKACAGAATGCTTAGAAGCTTGAGTAAATGAGGTAGGTTCTTCTTGACAAAAAGTAACAGTGGCTAGAAGAAGTTTCTTCTTGAATATGCCATATTTKCTTCTGGTCTGCATGGGATGAGAATTGAGGACAGAAGTGGCAGTGGTRTTATTGCTCATATCAGGATGGTGTGTAGAATCAGGGGGAGGAATATTAGTCAAATTTTGTGAGATAATTGGGATATCACTTGGGTCAGGATAGGAAATGGCATGAAAAATAGGGGATTGAGATGAAGGACTAGTAGAAAGCATATGATCTGAAATATTTTGAGATGAGTAAGTGGGAAGAGAAGTTGTATCAGGTAATGGATTGGGTGAGGGACAAGTTGTCTCACGTGGAACAATAGAGATAATAGGCAGRGGAACAGGAGAGGATGATGGAAAAGGGTGAGATGTGGACACAGATGGCTGGGAGATGGCAAATGGAAACAAAGTTTCATCAAACAAGACATGACGAGTGGTATAAAGATGTCAAGTGCTCATATTGTAACAAAAGTAACCCTTATAATCTAGGGGATAACCGAGGAAAACACATTGGGTAGACTTCGGTTCAAGTTTGTTTGAGTTGTATGGTTTTAGCAAAGGATAACACGCGCACCCAAAGGTTTTGAAAAAAGTATAGTCGGGGGGCTTATGAAATAGAAGTTCAAAGGGAGATTTGTTTTTGAGATTGGGAGAAGGAAGGCGAYTTATAGTATAGACAGCAGTGGCAAAGGTAAAGGGCCAAAATTTTGTGGGAATAGATGCGCGAGACATGAGAGTGAGGGCTATTTCAACTAGATGTCTGTGCTTACGTTCAACAACTCCATTTTGTTGAGGAGTGTAAGCACACGACTTTTGATGGAAGATACCACAATTTTGAAGAAATGAACCAAGAGAGTGATTGATGAATTCTCCACCACCATCAKTTTGAAACACTTTGATATGGGTGTTAAGTAAATTTTCAACTAGACATTTAAAGGACTTAAAAACAGAGAAGACACTAGACTTGAGAGACAAAGGATATAGCCATGTATATTTCRAAAAAGCATCAACAAACGAGACATAGTAGTTAAAACCATTAATTGAAGTTTCAGGGGCAGGGCCCCAAACATCAGCATGAATCAATTCTAAGGGATACATTGAACAAGAAAAGGAAAYAGGGAAAGGCAACTTATGCATCTTGCCATATATGYAATGTTTACAGAGACATGATTTAGGTTTACAAGATGTCAAGTGTAAGGTACGAAAAATWGTATTGAGAATAGAGTTGCTTGGGTGACCTAACCGGTTATGCCAGATTGTGTGAAAGACTTTTGTTCCAACATGAGCAACAGGTGAGCTTGAAAAGGTAGAGCTGGATTTAGAAGGCGGAATAGGATATAGGCCATTGATGCTAGGGCCTTGGAAGAGATCATGCCCGAAGATTTGTCSTGGATCATAAAACGAKCATAATCGAACACAACAATACAATTGTTATCCTGTCATAGTTGATTAACTGAAAGTAAATTGGAAGAGATATGGGGAACATGAAGAATATTACGGAGAGCTAAAACAGAGGAAAAAGAGGGTTGGAGCACACCATAACCTGTATGAGCAATAGGTAAGGACTGGCCACTTCCAACACCAACATTTTCATCCCCAGAGTATTCAGTTGGAGCAGTAATCTAACTTAGATCAGCAGTGACATGAGCATTGCAGCCTGAATCTGCCATAATTTGCATAATTGTGTGTGGCAGCCATAGCCGCTAGCTGTGCTGGTGGATGTCGGCCTTGAAAGCTATAATTCATACGGTTATAGCAGTCAAGAGCYGTGTGTCCAGTTTTAAAACAAATTTGGCACACCARAYGCTGAGAAGAACCATCAGAAGAAGCGGAAGCAAATGATTTTCCTCCATTGAAACCAAAAGGTAGAGATAATAGTCCACGACCACGACCAAMATGAGCAGAATAGTTGAGAGGTACAGAAGATTTGCCGCGATGATGAGACTTTGCTTTACCAAAATTTCCTCTAYCGCGTCCATTTAGTGAAGGGATAGGGAGATTTGGATTTGAATTTTGGCTGCGTGATGAATTCTGAGTGCTCGAGAATAAAGCTGTCGGTGAAGCAAAAACGTCATCACTTTTAAMTTGTTTCTCGATAGCAGACTCCTCGGAAGTTAGAAGAACATGAAGTTTTTCAAATGAAACAGGTTAAGCACGTGTGCGCATGGAGGTTCTAAAGATATTATAATCAGTAGARAGACCATTCAAGGTGTATATGATCAAATCTTCATAATCGATGACGACTGAAACATTCGCTAACTTGTCCTTAAGTTCCTTGACCCTCTGTATATACTGACTGATCAATTCAGATGGTTTCTTGATAATAGACTGTAATTCAGACTTCAGATTCACCACATTAGTGCATGATTTGGAGGAATAGTGCTTCACTAGGGTATCYCATACCTGTTTAGAGGTTTCGCATCCAACGATGTAAGCGAGAGCAGTCGGAGAAAGTGTTGCATTGATTACTGTCATTAGGGCATGATCTTTGGCGATCCAATCACTGTGCGCTGGATTGACCGCAATAGGAGTCGTAGAGGAAGAGGACTCCGAAGTAGATGATAGATGAAGAGGAGGACAAACCACTTAGCCATCGACAAAKCCGAATAGCTTATGAGCCTTCAAGATTGCAGTCAACTGAAATTTCCATAGAACAAAGTTTGACGCATCAAGACGGATTGAAATCAGGTTGCAGATATTTGACAACAGAAAAATTGGAGAAGACAATTCGRTCGCAACACCAGAAGAATCAGATGCCACCATAGATGCAGAGTGAGGAGCAAGAAAAGGGCGCGTGTAAAGAGACGCGTGGGAGGATCGTATACTGACGTGAGTCAATGGCTTAATCTGATACCATGTAATTATCTCATATTACTCAAGAGATAATGCTTCTCGTATTTCAATGTCAACAGTACAAGTCTATTTAAAGACTGAAATATAACAATATTAACAAAATTATAACAGAAAATAAAGGTTACAACCACATAACAATATGACTGTTATTACCAGCATCCTTTTTTCTGAATTTGCTCGAGATATACGGTTAGATCTCAAAGAGCGATTTCAGAAAAGTAATGGTCCACGAATTTTTCAATTGAAGCATGACCTATCCACACTMTGTCAAGATCAACAGTTAGTGAGTTTATATTTTACTAGATTCAAGACTATTTGGGATGAATTGAATTAACATCGCCCTTCCTGTACTTGTTCTTTTCAGTGCGGTGGAGCAAAATTGGCATATAAAGAAAACTCTTAATGGATCCTCCTCCTCCTATTAATAAAGCCTTATTGTTTGTTCATCAGKWMKAACAACAACGCTCAATTGGTGTTTTATTAGTGAATTTGTCTTCTTCGACAACTTCACCATCTTTTGCTCTTGCGGTTCAGGCTTCTACTTCTTTCAGGAAGTCTTGATCACCCAAGGCTCATTCTTCTTTTAAGTCTAAAAACAGGCCAGTCTGCACTCATTGTGGGATTATGGGACATATAATTGACAAGTGCTATAAACTCCRTAGCTATTCGTTCGAATATAAAACCCAAGGTCACCGCAGTTTTAATTCTTCATCTGAATCTAAATAGATCAATTTTGTTTCCTCTMAGATGCCATCACATAATGCTCCGCGGTCCTCTGATTCTTCTTCTGTGATCGCATMTCCACCACGTTTTGAWGTTCTTCTTCAGTGTCAACAATTACTCAATATGTTACCGTCACAATTTTTTACTAAACCTGCAAATGATATTGACGCCTCTATTTCTCATATGACAGGTACTTTCGGTACTTGGATTTTAGATTCTGGTGCTTCTGTGCACATATGTTGCTCTTGTTCTCTATTTGATACTATTTCTAACATCCATTTTATTTCTGTCACTTTGCCCAATAAATCACGATTTCTAGTGGAATTTTCTGGTTTAGTAAAACTATCTGATGATTTTGGTCTTCATGGTGTATTACATATCCCTCAGTTTCACTACAATATCATTACTATCAGCATTTTATTACGRGATAATCCAAGTTTTACAATATTGTGTCATTCAGGATAAGTGCACTTCGAAGATGATTGATAAGGGTAACTTGAAGAATGACTTGTTTCTGTTTGTATGTTGCCTAGTTTTGTAGTCTGTGTTGTTTCTACTGATACATGACATCACCARCTTGGCCATTCTTCTTTCAGTCACTTGCTTTAAAAGATGTTTTAGCTCTTAATACTTCCTCTTTTGATAATGTGGATTCATGTACTGTGTGCCCTTTAGCAAAACAGAAGCGTTTATCTTTTCATTCAAATAAAAACATATCCCCTAGTCCTTTTGASATTATTTATGCTAATATTTGGGGACCATTTGCTCATTTTACACACAATAGATATCGCTTGTTTTTAACTATAGTGGATGACTGGTAGTCGGTATACTTGGGTCTTTCTTTTGAAGAATAAATCAGATGTCCTTGCTATTGTTCCTCGTTTTTTTGCTTATTATGTGGAAACACAGTTTAATGCWYACATCAAGTCTTTTTGGTCTGATAATGCTCCTCAGTTCCTATAGGGAGTAGTKSATGAGTTTTCATGTGTTGAAAGAACTGAACAAAATTCAGTTGTAGAGAGGAAGCATTAGCATATTTTGAATGTTACTACAACGTCATGGGTTCCAATTACTCTCTGGGGAATGTATTTTGACAGTTGTTTTTCTTGACAATCACACTTCATCCCCTCTTTTGGCTTGGAAATCTCCTTATTCATGTTTGTACCATGTTGAGCTTGATTATTCTTCACTTCGAGTGTTCGGTTCTCTTTGTTATGCATCCATATTGACTACACATCAAACCAAGTTTGACATTCGTGCTAGAGCTGTAGTGTTTATTGGTTATCCACCGGGTATGAAGGGCTATCGTCTATATGRCATTCAACAACAAAAATTTTTTGTGTCTAGGGATGTC